TGAGCAATAACTGTGTTTCCACTTTTAATGGTACAGTGTGATGCTACCTAATACTGCTGATAAATGTGATGTTAAATACTGGTTTGAATTTGATAGGTTCGTTACACCATTTTGATGATTATCAATCTCTCTTCCAGTATTATGAACCAAGAAAAGCGCTAGTCTCAATTTGGAAACGCCTTTCCCCACCCCTCCACTCCTCTGAAACACAAATTTAAGCTGTAACCACCAGAGGGAGCAAATTGCACGATAGGGACTTTTCACTACAAACTTCTTTGGTTGTCAAGAATCGTAGGCTAGGAGCTAGCCCATGACCTGTTCACACTCTTAATTTTTGCGTCAGAAAATAATCCATTTGGAAGGTAACAATGTTAAATTTCAAATATCAGGAACATCGGGCATTTTAGTTTATATATATATAATTACAAATATTAAGTTTTATGTTATTATGTTCACATTCATTTATAAAAATGTGTCAGCAGTTGGTCAAACATTAAACATGTAGGAAAAAATTAAATGGGCTTTACATTTTATTTAAAATATTGACAGCTTTTCCTGGTTTGTCTTTCATAGGTTACTGAAGACATTGAGTATATTGGTAGGCAACAAATAGAACTTGTAAATCAGAACCTACAGGAAGGTAGTACAATAAAAATGCTTATTTACATATTTCCTGCTATTGTGCAGCGAAACTTTACCAGTCAGCTAAAAGTCTGTTAAATTTTATTTTTACATGCTTACATTGAATAGTCCCATTGAACTTGGTGGCTATTCCCATGGTTTAAGGTAGAGGTTTCTGAATTTAGTTCCTCATATTCACTCATCAGCAGTCTTCCTAGCTCTAGATGGTGTATGAGTCCTTACTGCTGAGTAGACTATGAGCATTGAGCAATAAGTTAAAACTATCTCAAAGACAGAAAACTCTTCAAAAATGAAAGAGGAGGATAGCAAAATAAAATTAAAGCTATGCTCTTATATAAAGAATTACAGTTGAATGTAATGCTGACCTGGTATGGAGATGGCTTAAAGAGGAAAGAACTTGATGAATGTCTAGAAAGTCATTCATTGAATGCAGAAGATGAACAGTGCTCAGCTGTTCCCTTTCTCTTCAAACAGAAAGGCTAGACAGGCATCATCAGATGAACTGTCAAGGCCAAGTTAGTACCAAACAAAAGGAGAAAGTCCTTCCCAGAATAGAAGACCATATTCCAGAACACTGTTAGGGTTAAAAAATTTGTACAGGTTCAAAAGGGGACTGGATAAATTAATAGATATTTGTTATGAACTATTGCAGATAAAGATAGTAACTTATAACAGGTATGCAAAACACGGACTACCTAATGCTGAAAGAATACTTCAAGTATATACTTGCTCTGGAGATGTATGGAGATTGAATACTGCCTAGACAGACCTGTAGTCTTACCCATTATGGTTTTAATGATTTGCAGCTACTCTACCTGTTAATGCTGTGTCATAAGACAACAAATGGCACTGCTGTTAACTGGAAAATCTGATCTCACATACATGATGTGGATTTAGAGTAGCATTTCTGTACATCACTGTATACTTAATGACACCACTCTGACTGTAACATCTGGAAGAACAAGTTTCCCTTATGATCTGTAAATATTTATTTTACTGAGATCAATAAGGAAACTTGTATATGTATATAGGTGGACTGTTAAATACACAATGAAAAAGAATGTCTATGAATGGTTACTCAGTTGAATTATGTCAGTAGTTGAAGTAAGTTTGTGGAACTTACTAAGACAACTAGATGTCCTGGACCTGCTGTAGCTTCATGTAGCTTCATTGTGACCTCATTTCGGTTTCTCCAAGAGCATGTTCACACACAACCTCTGTTTTCACAATTCCTCTACTTTTAGAGCAAGTCAAGGATTACAGTGCCCCCTATAGCAACTGCGTGCTTTTAACCAGTTCAAGTTATATACAGATACTTGCCAAGTGTCCACCCTGAAAGTTGAGACCAGTAATAAACAGTAGTTCAGAAAAGCTTTTAAAAAATTTTGTGACTTCTTTACTTCTAGGCTTCTACTTGTAAATTCAGTCTTCAGCAATTTCTAGCTGACTTTCTTTCCCACTCATCAGAGACTCTTCATCCATCCTGCAGCTATTTGGTTTTGTTTCCTGACTAAGCCTCTTCCTCTCACTTCCTCTCTAGCTCCTGTGGATTCTAAACCACATGCTCGAGTACAGAATAACTGGTAATGAACTCCCCAGTTTAGGATTTATGCCTTATTTTTTTCTGTATTGGTCAACAGGACTATTACAGTTTACTTTCTTGTCCGTTTTTCTGTATCTTTACTTTCTCTGGAATTAAATTGTGGTAGTATACAAACTAATTATCTAATGTAAGTGCTCTTGGGTAGTCCAAGATCCTTCAGAGTGGCACTTATTCTTGAGTTGGTGTGTACTTTATTGTTATCACATACTACAGGCTGGAGAATAGTTATAAATCATATGGATTAACAAATAATTTAGCAAAATGCTGGTTTAGGTACTCTTTAAAGTCAGTGTACAGTATCATGTTGTAGTTTAATAAGAAGAAAGTAAATCCCTGTGTAAGTTAGCTTTAGCTATAACTTCTATTATAGAAGGGATTAATTTGTCCAAATTATGAATTAATAGCAAAAGGAGTGTTTGGATCCATTCCAGAAACATCCTAAAGTGTGTGGCTTATGTGATTCTGATTCTGTGATTAGACAAATTTGTGGGCAAAACGAAATATGATGGCAAAACATTCCTGTACTTTCTTGTAATTGTTAGTTTGTTCTGCCCTGTGAACAGAGGAGAAGAAACAAAGTTCAGAAACTGCGTTTTATAAAAAACCCAAACAAACAAACAAAACCATAAACCTGAAGTGGAAAGCAAGTCGCCATCAGTGTCTTCTTTACAGTTAGTTTGTGAAGTGATATTTGATACTCGTCAGATATTCAGTATTTGGGTACCAGATTGATCTGAATCTAAAGATATAATTATCTAAGCTACTTTCATTATTGGTATCTTGGCTATGCATGGTTCTTTTATAACTCTTCAAGGTTCACAGAAGTGCTTTTTTTTGTAGGGAGGCTGACATCAATCCTGAAGCATTGAAAACAGAAGAGATTTTATCAATAACTGAATGACAGGAGTGTGATTAGTTCCACTGATGCAAAGCTTACTTGAAAAAAACCCTAAATTACAAACCTGGTTGATAAAGTTCATTAAATGTTTTTAAGGCTACTAATGTGTTTATTAAGAGATCATAGTTTGGTAAAAATTGTCATGTACAATATCAGTAACCATAAATCATATATTAAATTTACTAAGATTTAGATAAAAATTAGTCCTTAAAATAACTGTCACTAAATGGATAGATTGTTATCACACAGAAACACTCTTAGTGAAATTAATAATAAGCCTCAATATTTTAAAGTAATTTGAAATTTCAGTATTTTTTTTTTTCCCTCAGTTATCTGAAAGTAAGCTAAAACCATTAGTGAGAATAATCTGCTGGGCAATGGCACTCATACATAATGGTGCAGATATTTTCATAATTTAGTTATGAAAATGTGCATTTGCAGCCATTAAAAACTCGTGCTTAAAAAAGGAGGTGTATATATCTGCAAAATATAACTGTGTTCTACCCAGTGACTTTGAAAAGAGTTTAGAGGTCAAATAACTAATGCTAATGCTGTATGGGTACACCTTTCTGCTCTTTTGCACTGAAACAGTTCAGTGGCTACACTTCTGTAAATGTCCAATGGAATCATGTTCAGTGATCCACATCACTTCAGTTTTGGATTGTTTTGTAGCCTGGAAAGACTTGATGGATTAATTTCTAAGGTGTGTGGAGCCTTCTTTGAATTACCTCTTACAAACTTATGGGCCAAACAGAAAAACAGCACCCCACTTCTCCTGCTGCCCATTTCCCCTTTTCTCTCCCATTATGAGAGAGACACACCATTTGCGAACCTGTCTGGAATAATGTGTACGATTCTAGTTGCCTATGTTCAAGAAAGGTTAGCACAGAAGAGAACTGGTGCACCAGAATGCATGGAATTGCTGGTAGTGAGAACAGACATCTCTTCTGAGCAGAAACTAAGACCAGGGAGCAGTTGTGGTCAAGAGGGATTTACTGAGGAGGTTGAAGGTGGCTGCAACTTCCCCTTCCCACCTTTAGCATTGCTTGTGAAGCACATGCTCCTAGACATGTGATGGAGGAACAGCTATGCAGCTCTTCCATAGTTGCTTTATTTAAGTGAAGCAGGAAGAGAAACCCAGACAAGGAAAGACTGATTTAGATTAAAAGGCAGCATTGGTGCAAGAACAAATGTCCGTGAATATGTTCCAAGTTCACACACGTGACTTGTTGGCTTTAAACCTTGTCAGAGCAAGGTTTTAGAGCAATTTGATGAAAGGGTTTGTACAACATACTTGCTTATGATAATTGGACTTAATGGCCTGGGGATCTCCTGAAGCGCACAGTTTTGATGAAAGCTTGCATCTATGAGATGTTTCAAAATTTTTATAACTGATTACAATCAAAGTTTATTCCCTTGCCTCTTAGAATTCTGTAGAAGTCTGTTTGTTAAGGCTCTGCTTTTTCCTCTAGGGATTCTTACGGAGACTGTAAGGATTGTGGAAATTGCTAATTTATTTTTCATAAAGTTTTTAAGAAAACTATTGGAAGTGAAAGGAATATGCTCTGTAGTAGAAGTGTCCAAGTCCGTGACTGTACCGTTTCTGTAGTAACTTTTGTTACAGCTATAATAGGCAATAGCTTAAAAGAAGCATATGAAGTCTGGGTTGGGTTCTCAATGCCACTCTCCCTTATCCTGAAAGAAGACACAGAGGGAGATGCCTTTCCTCCCTTCCTCGCCCCCCCCCTTTCCCCCCCCCGAAGAAGTTGAAGAAGTTCCCTAAACTCTGACAGGCTCCCAATGCTGAGCTCTACCTGTTCTTAAGTATTTGTTGATTATGTGGGTTTTAGAGGTTTTAGGAAATCAAGTTTTTCCCCCTCTATTAACTGGAAATTCAAGAAAGCATCCTCCTTCAAGAAAATACTTAAGCACATACTTATTCACCATTCATATGTTAAAATGCAGGTGAATCACTATGCCTGTGAGGTAGTCAACTGTAGATTTTGCTTGAAAGCCATGTAGTTACTATGTTCAATTAAAATTAAGTTGAAGTTTTGCTTCTTTTGGAGGGGAAAGAGAGCAACCTTTCACATGTATTTTTATAAAATACATACACAATTTTATTGAATGGCTTTTTGTCTTCTGTCAGCTAATTTTAACCTAGATGTACTTTTCTTTCGAGATTAAAAAGAGAAACTACATCCTTTGATGTCAGGCAAACTCATGCATGCTTTATCAGGGGCAGCTGAAGGAAGTGCTTTCCTGTAGCACCTGCTTCTCAGCTGATGAATTCTGCTTGATGCAGGTGGTAACGAATTGTGTATTTTTAAGGTTTGTCAGGATTCTCATCTGTTAGGATTTTAAGTTCAGAACTGTGGGAAATGGTTCTGTGATGGTTTAGGGTTTCTTAGTGCATCTTAATTGATGGGTTTTTTAATAGCTATAATGTTAAATCAGATAACTTGATTAATCTGTCAGAATTGGAAATGTGTTCTAAAAAGGGTATAGGTTATTAAAAATGTCTGATGCAATAAACATTTACTCCTTTAAATGTTCTGCAATTAATGCTAGATGGTTTTGTTTTAATGTGCCAGGAAATATAAATACAGAAATAGCTACTGGAATTTGATGGCTCACTAACACACAAACTTACTGAATGGGTTAAAGCAGTTGAGCTTGATCCCAAATATTCTGAGTATCTGTGTATGATGGTATTCATGTATGATGGAATTGATTATGTTAATGTTTAGCAGATTCTGAGAGCACATTTTGACATGTTTCCTAAAGAAAATATGTATTGTCTGCACTGTGTTAGGAAACTGGGTACTTGTAGATACCATTAATATTTTTCATGCAACTTCTTTTGGCTACATGATTACAAATAATGAAGACTGAGTTCAGGCTAATTATGTTTTTTTAAAGTTTAATAGATAAAAGGAAATAATGGGAACAAAATTAAGTAGTTATAACTATTTAAAAGCCCAGTGTAAAACTGTTGCCTGAGATTAGGTTTTGTACCAGAATAGTAAAACCAAATAGAGAAACTTGTATCTTTTGCTGCAGTTATGTGAAGATCACTTCTGTAACTGGAATAAAGGCCTTGTCTTTTCCAAGATGCACAGAAATCTTGTCCATACTCAGTAACTCTGGGATGTTCTGGACACATTAGGGTTATTGCATGTGCATAGATTAAGGCTAGAGAATTCAGGCTGTAATTCTGATGTGTGGGTTGTGTGTTGAATTTCTGCTGCATATCCTGTATGGCTCATCTGCTTGTGCTCCATACATCTGGCCCATCTAGTAACTTTAACAGGGATAGTAGGTATCTGATAATCCAGTAAAAAGAGAAAAATTAAGTGAAATTATTCTGCAAAAAAAACCCTTTAATTCACTGTACTAGAAAATGGCAGTTGGTAATTTCTTAGGTTATTTTATTTATGCAGAAAAAAATATTTATGGATGTTTTAAAGTACAACAGAGGAAGTAGGATGAGCAATAACATCATTATTTTACTTTCAAAAATTCACTCCAGTAAAAAAATATGGATTTGTTTACAACCAAAGGGTATTGCGATTTTGGCCTGGTAAGTAATTTCTTATCAAATAAGCCACAAACTAGGTTAATCTATTGATGCTAGTCAGAAAGATTTATTGTCAGAGCCTTGAGGAAATTTATGCAGAGACCATAAAGGTTAAGGAAAAAAAAAAGTTTTTTTTAAATCAGCCCTGCTCTTGCATTCTCTCTCATCATGCAGGATCCAAGGAACCAACCATTCCAAAATACTTCTGTCTTGAACAGCTGCAAGAAGAATTTAACTGTTACTGAAGAAGTTATTAGCAGTATAAATGCTTACAGCTGTTGTAGTTTACAACTTTAAGTAGTTTAACTTCTCTTATTTTGAAGTAGCTCTGTTTATAGAGGGATACCACATTAAATGTTTCAGGAATTTAGTGTTTAGTCTTTGTTTTAACTTATATGTGACAAATTATATTGTCTTTGATCTCTGACTTTTTTTATATTTTCTGAATTCAATTTTTCTGTTCTTTTATAGCAAGAAATTTAGTTCACTATCAACTTAGGTTCTACCTTCTTTATTTCCCACTTCGAAGAGATTTGGATTAACTGAAATTAGAAGCACCTTACATATATTAGTTAACAGTACAAATTATGTGATCCAAATCCAATGAGAAATTTATTATAACTTGCAAAATTTTACTAACAGGTATTAAGGCTAGATACTATAATACTTTAAAGAAAATAAAGTTTCCCCCTTAGGGGTCTTTAAAGCGAAGCTCTGGGGAAAAAGTTTACAATGTAATAGAAAAGTAGCATTTTTATTAGATACTGCATCTACCATGCTGATTTTTGTAGAGTAGAAGACTTCTCACACATTCCTTAGGGACAGGACTGTGTATCCCATGAGACATTGTGAGCCCTTGTGCTGAGCTGCCACAGTTTATCACCAGAGATGATGCAAGGGTTAGCAAAGGCAGTGGCACTAAAGAAGTATGGACATTGTTCCATTTAAACTGTTTCTGGTTTGGGGAAAAAACTGTGTTCTCTTTAAATGTTGAACTTTTCAGTTGCAATTAGAAATTTATGAAGAAACCTGACATTTCTCTGAAAATATTTTGCTGTTGAAATTCTGTCTTTACTTTAACAAACCAACTGATAGGAGCTTCTGGCTTTTCCTTCATTAAAAAATTTTATAGCTCCTCTTTCAGTTAGTCATTTAAAGAATTTGATATCATAGTGAAATGTTCCACCCCTAGAAGAGTTGCCCTAATAATTAGTTATTCAGAATGTTTTATTTCTGACATGTGCATCCAGTTTAAATTTATCAAGATTCAACTTCCTGGAATTGTTTCTTGGTATGCCCGTATCTCCTTCTTTAGGAATACATACTAAATATGTTCCTGTTATGCAGACAGTGATAGGCTATCAGTAACACTGTCTGTATTTATAATGTTAAATTGACTTCAGCCGGTCTAGAATGCAAATTTTCTTGTCAATTTTTATTGCAGCTCTTCTGAAGCTTTCTATTTAAATTAATACTTTTTTTATAATAATTTTTTTCATAGCACTCTTTATGCCAAGATTAGCAATGAAATTATTGATTCTTAAGCGCTTTCATGTAGAGGATGAGTTTATTCTGTGAGTTATTAGCTTTTGAGGTCTATTTTGTAGAGATTTTCTGTAGTTCCCTGCCAGTTTTTGTGTTTTTATTTATTATTGCCTTTGAGCCAGAAAAAAATTGTGTAGGTTCCCAAATCATACAACGAACTCAAACAGAAATGAGGTCTGTGATAACAAGTGGTATAAATAACTGACAAATATTGATAATGAGGTATAAACAACTGACATAAATTATATTGATGTTACAAGGTATCTGTTTCTCAATTCTCAAAACCTTTGTAGCATGGTGACCTTTTGAAAAATCATTTCCTGAGTAACTGTTTCCAGTTATTATCATTATAGGCATTAAGAAATTATTTTAGACCATTCATGTAAGCATATGTACCCACACAGGTGCTGCACTATCAGTGACAGATGTGCACAGGGCTTTTCACTGGATGCTTACTTGAGTAGGTGTAGATTTAAAATATTGTAATAATTCCAAAGAAATGTATGATTGCATGGGCAGATGCCAGAAGCAGCAGCTAGCTGATCACTTACTCATTTGTTGAATATTTTATGAGTAAACTGCCAGGTAAAAGAGGTAGCTGAAATGTATCAGTAGGTGGCAGAAAAACATTAGTGTTCTAATGAAGAAAAATGTTGCTTTACCCGTGTAACCAGAACCTAACATCTCTGCCTTTATATTTTAGTTTTTGATCTTCTTTCTCTTCTTTGAGCTGTAGATCCCCTGTCCAGACTTGCATCTTGATGTTTTCTGTCTTCACAACAACCTTTTCCTATATTGCAATATTACTGTTCTCCAGTTAGTTCAAAATCTGCCATCAGAGGGAACTTTTCAAGTGCTTTGATGCAAAGTAGACAGCTTCCCTTTCCAGGTGCTCAGGGAAGATTTAGAGCTGGTGAAATGAGAAAGTGTTGACACCACATGTGAGAACCCTTCATGAGATACTGGTGTTGCTCTCGGATACTGTGACTATAATTTGGAGGAGTTATTTTGCTGGTTTGTATGTTGGTTTTGTTTGTTTTGGTGGTGTTATTTATTTACTAGATGTCATTTTTGTATCAGTTTAAAAAGATGAACTCTGAGTTTAGGACTCTCAAGTCTGATCTGCAAAGCACCATCTTGCATCTAACAGTGTTTATTAGTTCAAAGTGCAGTGCTGTATGAAGATGATGCATCTAACTTCCAAGGGCTTTGGAAATGATTCAACTGCATCAACACTGTGCTGCATCTTGAGCTGAGAAAACTGGCTAGATCCAAACTAGCATATGAGGAAGCAGCTTTGGTATCTATACCTGCAGCACTGTTAGTTGTTACTTTTTCTATCTGCCAAAAAATATTTTTAATTTTGTGTTTTCAATTCTATCATCTTTGCATTTTGATAGGACATGTTTTAAGTGTTGCAATGGCTACTCATATGAGAAAGAATTGTGTTGGCTAAGTTGCAATTCTGTTCTCAGCTCCTCTGGAGAAATTGAAAGTAATACAAAATAAATAGAAAGTGATCCTATAGTGTTCGCAGAAGTCTGTAGGAGGTTTGGTTTTTATAAAAGCAGGGTGATGAGATTTTAAAATTTCAGAGTAATGATATTCTACAGTGTCCAGTAGTACATATTATAACAACTGCAGTGGGTATTTACTGTTTGTGAGTACTCTGTATGTCTTTTTATGCCTTAGAGCTTATGTGAAAACAGACCTCTGCTTTGTTACTGTGATTCCAAAATAGCCTTTTCCCAAAACTTTTTAAGGAAACACTTCTTTTGTCCATTTTGTGACTACAATGAAAGGTGGGTCATGTTTCCCTCACGCTGAGAAGAGCATGAAGGCCTGAAGGAGGAACTGAAGTGAAGCTTGTCTGAGCAACACAAAGAGTTCAGCAAATACAAGGTTCAGTCACAGTACTTGAACTATTCAAGCTCCAGGCTTCTTCATTCAGCCATAGCTGATGTTTATCATGAGAACGTACACTGTAGGAAGTTTGGGAGAAAAGAGTGAATTAAGGGGTATTTGGAATGTAGCTCTGTTTGCAATAAAATACTTCATTGGCTTGTTTACAGATTCCTTTTATTTAAATTACCTTTGTTAATTTGAATAGGATCATGGAAAGTGAATTGCAGAATACTGGAGGTCTTGGCATCATAGAACAGAATCGAGACCCTTAAGGACATTAAGTCCAACTGTAAAGCTAACACTACCAAGTTAATTAATTTTACAAGTTCCTTAGATTTTAATGTTTAAAGGCACATTCGAAGATTTCTGTTCCATTTCTCTGAAACTAGAAGACTAGCAAGAGACTGTTTCCCAAGATGATTTGTCACAGGATGTGTCCTCCCTGGGCAGAGTCTGCTCCTGTTCTTTTCTTGGTGTCCTTTTTCAGAATTTAGTGAGTAGAACCCTTTGAGGAAGGCGTAAACAATTTCATTTTATATTATATACTTTGAATCAAATGGAATTAGTACCTTAAATACCATCTCTTACACTACGATAAAGTGATTTTACGTAATACTGACCTATGCACAAAAATATAGTTGTAGAGCATTTCATGTGACTATACCACAAATTTTACTTGGACCCAGCTTCAATAAGGCACTTATTTCTATAGAAGTGTGTGATGGACTTAATTTTAAAGATAATACATTTTTAACTGTTGTTGCAACAATCAAACTTCAACTATCATCCACTGAAAATAGTTTGAAATAAAATTTAAATAATAGAAATTGAATATCAGGTTTTAAGAATTGCAAAATAGGATGGATTAGAGCCTTGGAGCACACAAAGCTATTTACCTATATGATTTTCTTCTGTAATTGGGCTTTGAAGTTATATATCAAAGTAATTGGCATGTTCTAGTTTATAGGACACTAAAAAGAAAGAGATCTTCAAAGAGCATGTATTTTGAAAAGAAATGTAAAGCACAATTTCCAAACAGAAGAAAGAATAATTTGTGGTTTCAACAATGAAGAAAGAAGAGTTTTAGTAATGAAATACATTAAAGGTGCTGAATCCACCACAAGAGCTAGTGGATGTTTATTCTAACGTAAGTAAGTATGAGTTTATTTTTTAGCATCCAATTAAGAAAAAACCCAGAACTTGTGAAATTAGTCTTGACTCATGATTTAACACTGTAATTGATAACTTGCTGGTGCTGGCTGTAGACGGTAATCCAGTAGAGTGTAATTTTTATCATAATTCCTGTAGATGGTTTTTAAATAAGGTGGATTGCACTTCATTCACTACTATTTATTACATGCATGCTTTATTTACATATATTTTATTTATTGTAGTTCTTGTTTTCTTGACTTGTATCTTTAATACCTTATGGATCAAAAACACTGGATGAAAATTAGGTTGATATTTAGAGCACATAAGAAGTAAAAATTGCATAATAAATAATAAATGTAAATGAGGTGGGAGATTACTGAAATAATCTGGTTTAAGTTCATTTAAATTCTTGCAAATTAATTATTTGCTTTACAGAGAGGAAAAAAGTAAAATCTGTAATTGCTAGCTAAATACACAGTGTATGATTTGCTCTGATAGTCAAACCTGTGTATGGAAATAAACATATAATAATGCAGTTTCAGGAGAGTTTTCAAGCTGAATTATGCAAATCCTAGCAACGCTTTCCTCAGAGAGCTCTACAGAAAGTGCATGGGGCAGAGGAAGAAAGATTCTGTTAAAAACAGTATTTTGTATCTAGGAGAGAAAGAGTGTTACAGAGAGGGGAGAGAATTTCTGGCAAACAGTTTATTCCTTATGCATATAGTATTACATCAGTTTGGTTGTGTAAAATAGGAACAACATGCAGTACTCTTGTGTAAATATTTTATGTATTTTGGGGAAAAAACATGGGTGTGTTCGGGAATGTCTGTTTTCAAAGCAGTTCTTTAATTCAGCAAATGTTCATATTTTTACTTCTGTGCCTAAGAAACGCATACAGCATATAAAGTGCTTAGCAGGATCAAATGTTACAGCAAAATTTTATTAAAAACTAACTTCTTTATTGTATCAAGTCTAGGAAAGTCCTCTGCTTTCTGCATTTAGTTGGATCTGCTAAGTGGAAGGTGCAAGAAATCCTGTCACAGACACTCATTGACTAATTTGCATTAAGAGATATTGCTTCCTTACCACCATTAGTATTTGGTTTAAACCTTGAATGATTTCGTTAGCTACATAAATGCTTAATCTCTTCAAAATCCTGCTAAGCTCTTGCCATCATTGAAAGCTGTGATAATTTGTTCTAGTTAATTCTGTATTTAAATACATTGCCTTTCAGTTCCACTAAATGTTCCTGGGTTTTCTTAATAACAGGGAGATGACAAGAACACAGATTTTACCCTGTCCTATTATTTTGCTCCCCTCTGCTGTTTGGTTTCTCTCGATTCTTCTTTAAGCAACATCACTTTCTTTTTCAGTTTGTCAGTGCAATCACAGCAATTGTATGTGAGGTAAGATTAGATAGTTGTGGAAGTTGGTGCCTTTAATCATGTTTTCCCAACATACAGTACTATTTATGACACAGCTATAATTTGTGCTGTAATTATTCTTTTTACATATGAAACACTTTGATCTATTCAGAGTTGTCCCTCACCCTGTCTCAAAGGAAAGAGAACAATTTGTAAAATGCCTCAAAAGAAAACACTGCTTTAAAATCTATGTTATACAGTCTTTCTGCAAGTATGTAAGAAAATAGTCTTTTTTACTTTCTTTTCCTCTGGAAGCATACATCATTGCTGAATTGTGTAGATTATGGGGGGGAAAAGTGAGACTTGCCTAATGCTGCAAAAATTCTTTTGGAATCTCTTAATTTGGACTGTATTGCAAGGAAATACATTACAAACAATTCAACACATTACCCCCTTAAGCATGTTGACTGTTTTGTCAATGGGGACAGTGTATGACCATGGAGTTAAATCAATGGGGAGATAAGAATGTTTTCTTGTTAAATATAAACCAGTGCATGTACTAAAGTAAACATAAACACAAATATGTAAACAGGGAACGGCTTATGGAAACAAACAAAAGAGGCTGCATTCTCAAAGTGAAAGTGATGATGAAAGTGCTTCCAAGCTACTTTTGTATTCTCACAACGTAGTTGATCAAGGAAAAAATTCTTGATGTAGCCTTTGTGTTTTTTCCTAGGTGTAGTGCTGCATGCTTGCTACCTTTTTACCAGCTGGTTCTCCTAAGTCTTAGGAGGCTTTACAGGAAATTCTCAAAACAGACTTACAATGATCTCAGCATTGAGGGAGGATACCTTTAGAGCACACAATCTGAACATAGGTATAGAAGCCTAGTAACGACTGGTAGAGAAACATGTTTCCCAGTAGGATCTTACCCTGTTTTCACATCTGTCATTCAGCAGGCTTTTGGGTGCATGGCTACACACCCATTCGTTCATCTGTCAATAAAGATAGTCTTCTAGGTATTCATAATCTCTGGTAGAAGGTTATGGAATATCCAAGTCCTTGGAGATTGTCCTTATTGTGCCACAGTGAACAAGCACTAAGATAAGGTATGAGCATGGAGTTATGATGCAAGTTCAGAAGCATAGAACTGCTCTTCAAAATACAGGCACTTTCTCTGGAAAGTCAGTCTTTGTGGCATTACTGAACAATTTTGCCATCTGAAGATCTGCAGTGATGCCATCTGGAGTGCCATTTAAAATCTACACATCTGAACATATTGCAACACTTAGCAAAACATTACGGTTGCCAGTGTTCTAAAAACAAACAAACCAACTACAAAAATCTGTAAGTAACAGTTGATAGGTGATTGGAATGCAAGCATGCATAGAGTTGACCTCTGTTCAAAGGGTAAGCCAGAACACCATTTGGCAAAGTCTGTCACAACTTTATGCTGATGGTAGGTGGATTGACAGTTTGCCCACTTCTTGTGCTGTGAGTCCTATTAATAAATCTGTAGGTCAAACTGAAAGGAGGTAAGTCTTTGGGCTTCAGTGTTGGAACATCCGTAGTCTCTGCCAGTGTGTCAATACACATACAATAATTTTCATTTACTTCTATTGTGTGATTTTCTGTAAATTTCTGAGGAGTGCTTTACATATCTTTTTCTTAATATTGATAAGGATACCTAGATACCTGAAGGTGCATAGAAAAAGGTGTTTAAGCAGAAAATAATGCTTGGCAAGAGCTTGGTTACCAGATAAACTGATTGAGTCCATAAAAGGCATTGCACGTATACTAGAGCATCTTTTATATATGTTTTAACTATATGTTTTATCTAGGGAATAGTTACTCATAAAGCTATGTAACACTAGAGTATTTCATTTAGAAGGGACCTACATCATCTAGATAAGGAATGAAAACCAGGAAATTAAGCTTTTTGGTTGCAAAACGCAGTGAGTTTATAGCACATCTTTTCAGTACCGCAAGAAATAAACATACTCTGTTGTTTCTGGAAGATTCTGTTATCTGCAGAATAAATTATAAATTATCATTAAGTAGCTGAAAATCTAGTAGTTAATGGCTGACTAGCATGAAAAAAAAACCTGACAATATATAGCCTTAGAGTGGTCTTATAAATGATGTATAGAATATGGAAAATGCATACTTTGAGAGCTTTAGTGGGTTATTCTGTAGAATTAGGGTTTTTTTCTTCTGCTGTTTCAGGAGAGTAAATTTTAATCTTCAAAGAAAAGCAAGTATTTCTAAATAGCTTTGGGGTGTATACAGCAGCTAATAGGTGTGATGATTTAACTGACTTGCAGTGATGAAAATGAAATTATGTACTCAATCTTAGGTTTGCAATTTTAACACCTGTAAGTCTTCCTTAAGTCTCCATTCTTCTCTTGGTAGAACTGGCAGCAGAAGCCCACATCCTTTGCTGCACTGAAAATATTGAAATCTGTTTAATTATTCCGTTATAAGTTGGTTGGGGTTTTGGTTTTATTTAATGTTTAGTAGCAAATGCTTTCGTTTGTCAGAATGCATGTCTTGTTTATAGAAGTTATACACATTTTTTAACGTAACATTACAGGGACAGAGCAAAACATGTAATGTAAACTTCATGAATGCATGTGCTTGTGCCACAACTTCTAAAATGCCATCGTAATGGGGACTAAAAATGTGTGTGCTGCTTTCGTTGGTGTTTTAGAAAAATTGCTGTTGACAACCTTGTAATAAAATAAGACTAACTGGGCACTCATGTTCAGTCAGATAAGGCCTTATCTACTCAAGAGACTGCTTCCTGTGAACATCCAGAATGTAGAGGTAATAATTTATTAAAGGAGGATGGCTACATTACTTTCTGGCTTGTATATTGTTAACAGCAGCATTACAGTTGCAGAAAGTCTATTTTTGGTGATGTGTCAATAACTAAAATGTTAACTTTAAATTTCATTTTTTAAGCTAAATTTGCAACGCAGGAAGAATATAAATATATCCTCATATTTAATATAGATAATGAACCTGGGTCATGGGAAGCAGAGATGACAAGAAAAGCTTTATGTACAAACACAAAAAGCCTCAGACTTGCAATTTAAAATCTGAAGCCGAGACTTGTACTGAAATATTCAAGTGAAAAAGTAGCTGGCAGTCTTTATAGTTGTTAGAGACTTATCAAGGTCAGGGGTAGTTCTTATTCTGTAATTACAGTAAAAAAATAGATATAAAAACTTGAGATTTCAAAGAGAAAATCTAGACAGACTTGATATTTTCTGGCCTAAGGGTGAGGACAAAACTTTCAAGATCTAAAGTACAATGCAGTATATATGCCACCATTGTACAGGAACGTTGCCCTTGTTCCTCAGTGGGACAGAGCAGAGCTTGCTCTCCTTCCGTTTCTGGATTGCTGCAAGATAACATATCTCAACTTCATTTTCTAATTTTTTTAGAGAAATTAAATTCTATGTAAGCTACTGTAATTTTTGGAGCTCTATCCGTAATCGCACAGCCTCATAACAAATGTGAAATGTGCACATTTATGAGGAAGAACTAGAATTTCTTTTAGTAAGGAGCAGTTATCAGAAACTGTAAGCAACTAAAACACTTCTGCTAGGATGCATCACAATTTTATGTTGCCTTCAGCATGACTGAGTATTCACAACTATTGTAAATACCCTCAGTGATTGCAGCTCTTGACAAAAGGCTTGTCCCATATCTCCTAATGATTTCTACTATGAGATTCCCAGTATCACTGGGCTTTTTTTGTGGTTTTTAATGAGAACAAAATGAATTTGCACCCCTGATCTTGAACTACTACAGTTCTTTTGTTCTTGATTTCTTTGTTACAGATGTGCACTAGACTTATTGTTGAAGTATACAATGTCTAGCATGTGCTGTGGGTGCAATTAGTTCTAAGCCCCTTCCTGCATGATTTCCTTCCTCTTGGGTTTTGGGGTTTTTTTGTGTTTTGTTTTTAATTGTGGAGTCATGGTGTTCCTGAAGCTTATTATAGTGTCACAAAGGGTGTGGAGACAGAAGAAAATCCTTACCTCTTCAGCCCATACACAGGGATGATGAAAGAGAGACTAGGGTCAGTTTACATGTTTTAACACACCCACCCCTGAAAGCATAACAGTCAAGACTTCTTACTGAAAACTAGTTTTATTTTAAAAAATAAGTCGAATGCATAGCACTCACAAAGATTCCATTGGTTGGACATTTTGCATTTAGGAGCACCATTCTTATTTATGCCATAAAAAACACATTTTGGTTCTAACAGTAAGAACAGCATATTTTTAAATACACTGATAAAGCCCTTTTAAATAATATATTGAAACTGTTTAGTGTATATTTTCTCTGTAGACATTATGCAGCTGTAGTGTCAGAAAAAACTTAGACTAAGTAATAAATTAAAAACAAACAGCATGTAGTGGATCTTTTTACAGTTGACCTAATGTCTTAAAATAGTCAAATAAAAAATACCCTATTACATGTAAATTTGCAGTATTAACTAACTGAATACACCCCTGCCCATTATAATTCCAGTGTTAAGTATTAGTTAAATTTTTAAATATCAAATGCCTATGGGATAAATTTACTAATATTCAAAAAAAAAAGAAAAAAAAAAAAAGAGCCTATACTGCTGTGCCACAAATAGCAATGACAAGTTAGCTGATTTAAAGATTTTACAGAAAAGATTGCTACAGGCATCTGCTGTTATTTCAAGTTGTGGTCTATTACAAGACTGTACATTCATAGCATCAGAGGTAGTTAGAGCATTTAGGACTTGGATACAGCATTGCAACAAAACGAAACCCAGAGAAAGAAGTCCATTTCCCTCTTAAATGGGTAACAATGCTGAATAAAAAACATGGCATCTTATGAGGTGGTAGGTCTCTACTGAACACTACTCTCAGACATGGGCAAATATTCATTAAAAGTTGGAGAGAGGAGAGAAAAATAAAACAAAACCAAGAACACCACAACCAAACCAACATGCACTTTATTTAAGAATTGACCCCACTATGCCTATTTCAAAGTTGATTCTGTAACATAAAGCAGAGGATCATCTCTTTCATTCACCCTCCTGACTTGCACATACATGCTACAAAAGCCCACCACAAAAATCGGGATTTATGCAAAAAAAAAACCCCAAACAAACCAAAACAAACCAAGAGAAACAGGATTTCTTCTCCTCCACAATGCATAGGTTTTTGTAGCATGTTATCATTCAGCCCAGGAAAGAATGAACACAGCTGTCTTCCCTCCACTATGAACATTATGGTAAGGCCCTTCTTCTGTGATAAATATTGATAATGTTATCTTAATTGCCCCTGCTTTCAAAACAGTCTCTGTAAGATTCACAATACTTCAGGGTCATTAGATGGTACATAATTTTAAGTGCTGCCACTAAGACAGGCCAGAAGGTGGTAAAAGAACAAATAAAAAAAAAAGCCTCAAGTCCACAAACTATAAAGATATTTTAAAGTAGTAAGAATCCTGTCACCCATACCCCTCTCTCTTCTATATTCCACCACAGGAGAAAGTCAGGTATCTTCTTGTATTTAAAGAAAAAAAAAACAAAACAAAACCTCCATTAATATCACCATTTTCATCCAATAGTTGGATGATTGAAGCTTTCTACCCTCTGACTATCCACTCCACAGGAGATAGTGTAATTCCATAAAGTTACATAATTAGCACCTTAATTGTGATAAAGCAGTTCACTCTGCAATATATTTTTGATCCACCCATTTAGAAGAGTAAATCTCTGCATTTTCTCCTAGAACTCCAAAATAGTAGAAGAAAAAGTTGTCCCACTATTACCTGAGAATTTTCCTCCACTATAAGCCTGAAAGTACATTTAACTGTACTTTTTTTTGTACGAGTGATACCGTCAGTACAACTGGAGGATGCCCTCTGTTGATTAATAATACATGTGTGTTTGTGTATACACAGAGGAATTGCAGCCACTGTAGTAGTTCTAGTACAGTACAAGTTCAGCTGAAACTCTCTTCAGTTACTCAGTAGCACACTGCTGGGCAGTAGCTTACATCTACATTCTGTGAATATTAACATATCCCTTTGGTACTCCTGCATATAGATGCCCTGAAGAAAAGCCACTCCACCTGCTATAGTCTCTTCCCTCTTTACCTTTCTCCCTTCAAGTTATACCCAATTAAGTATACAAACCAGCAGCACAGAGTAATGAATAGAAAATTCCCTGAGTTAGTATGAAAGAGTTACTTTAAACTTAAAAAGGACAGGGAAAAGAAAAGAAGCAAAAATATAGTGTCTATCCTGTGAGGTACAAAACTTAAGAACTAGCCAAAATACCAGTTAACTCAAATGCCTTAGCCTAAAGCAAATATCCATCACATATGCTGAAAAGGGGGCAAGAATATGGAGTTAGCCAGATGAGATTTGTTTCTTCCTGTGGTTCCCATGTATCTGGAGAAACCTGGCATTCAGTGGATTCTGAAGTTTCAGTAAACTGTTAATACTGTATGGTGGTATTACATAAATGTCTTCAAAATAATACTGCATATCTCCTTCATTAAAAGATAAGTCTGTAGTTAATCCACAGCTATTTTTGACTAGTATTTCAAAGATGTCTGTTAGAAGCACTGAGTATTCCGAGTGCCAGAGTAAGAACTTATCACCCCCAGGTATACACATTCTTTTTGGAGGGTGTTCTGTGTGCTTGTAGCAAGTCTGTATCTGACCTATGGTACTGCTTGCCAATCCAGTTGCCTTTTTTCCTAGAAAGACACTCTTTTATTTGATTTGTTGCCCTCAAACTTATTTGAGGGTTAACAAAAAAAAAACCAAACAACCGAAAATAACTCCCCTAAACACAACTTCCCACCCCAAACAAGAACAAAACTATTCTGTACTTATCACCTCTCAAAGCAGGGAGTAATACAGGAATATCGTCCATTCATCTGATAACTCCGGTTGTAGGAGACACTTATACATGGCTTCACTTCTAGCGGAGCAGTGAGTGACATTGCAGCACTAGTCTGTGCATGGCCTCGAGCCTGAACAGTAGACTGTAAGGCAGCAGGGCAAGTCTGAAGTGGGTAAGATGCTGTATGATTAGATGATAATATCTGTTGACAGTTTTGCTGCTGTGATGCCTGATGGTGATACTGTAATGAAGACTGATGAGCTTGGAGATACTGTGGTATGTGCTGTTGAGCATTAGCCTGCTGGGGAGTTGGAGCTGGGGTCTGAAATACAGTGTGTTGGGCAGACTGAGCATGTTGTCCTTTTTGCTTGTTTGCTTCCTTCACATCATTATCATGCGCACTAAACAAATTGAGAAGACAGAGTACATGAAAATAGATATTAAAATAATTTAAGCTCTTCTAGGTTAACATTTAAACTGCAGAATTTTTAGAGTGCTTGATCTGAAGGCTTCCAAAGCTTAAAAAGAGGAAAAATAATTTTAGCCTACCCTTTAAATCATCTGTGATTTAAAAATTTGTTTCTTTAGAATACACTTTCAGCATTTCACTTCATTGCACAGCAATACAAAATGCAAATAAACAGCAAGTACAATACAAATAATACAGAAGTATCTAAAATTACCAGTACAATATAATCTACTGGTACTGCAATAAAGTGCCAGATTACCAGAACCTGAAATTAAAACTTATTTGCTGCGTCTACTACATTTAAGTTGGGTAAGAGAATATAGGGTTTAAAGACATTACATCAGAGGGTTCTTAAAGATGTACATTACAGTACTTAAATCATATGTATACTAATATTGGATTCTGTTCTGGGCAGTGAAAATGCCTTTTTTTATCTTCCTCTCACCTTTTTTCTAGCCCACTGAGCACACTTCAGTTAGACAGTTTAGCTCACCTGAATTCCCTTTGATTTACACCTGTCTGAAGCGTATTTAGCTCTTGCTCTTATGCTGAGGTTAATCAGGTGCCACCTACATACTTCAGTCAGGCCTAAAATCATCTAGGGTTTTTTTGTACTAAACAGGGCAGATCTCTTGAAGACAGCTGGGGTTCAACCCCTCAATAGATTTTCCTGAAAGACTGCTTTTTATGGTGCGCTGCAAGGATGACCTAAACGCTTCACCTTTCTCACACCCCACAAATGTTCGACAGCAATACTGAAAATCCTACAGTAGTACTCACATACTTTAGGTACTATTCCTCTCATTACACACATTAGCAAAGCAAAAGCAATGTCACACTTATAATGAATATGCGTTTCTTCCAGATATAGCTGTTCCTGTGCTTCTACAGAATACTTCTAAATGCTTCTACAGAATGCTTCTAAAGAAAACTTCTGTAGGAGGAAAGTAGTTTATGGTGGGCATAGGTTTTGATCTTAAAGGTTAGAATAAAAGAACTTATTGTGTAACAACCCTTCTCAGTAAGGTTCTCTTTGGCATTTTTGTCTCATGTCAGCTGTATGTCTCCACTGTAGTGCAGAAATGGGTACAGCAACATTAAATAAAACCTCCTGGTCATTTCCTCCCCCCAGAGTTGGCCACTCAGTCTGCATAATCTGTTTGGAGCATCCCTTGAATTTGCAAGGGATAGAGACTTCAGAGTAAGTAGAAGTTCCTATGCCTTCAGTACTCTTCACTCTCTTTCTGCTCTCTGAGAAGACTACAGAGATTGGGAACAAGCTATTTAACAGATTCTCAAAGCATGCCAGAAGATGTTCAGTAGAAATGCAAGGCTGAGGTTTGTTTGTTGAAAGAACAGGAAAGAGGTTAGATCTGATAAGATTTTCTTCTTTGGAAAGAACAAAACAGTTATTACTTAACTATATTACCTAATACCTAAGTATTTTTAGAATATAAAAACTGAAATTAAAAGAAGAAATTTACTCTGAGTGCTAACAGCCATTCAGCATACCAACAGATCCAGAAATGGGCTTAAAAAAAAAAAAGGGCAAAAAAAAAAAGCTGCTGTTAACTTACATTAATAGTCGCTCAATACATGGCACTAGAAAATCCCAGGAGTATGCAGTAAGATGATGCAGTCGGGTAGGCCACGTTGGTGAGAGACGCAAGATAATCCTTGAAGAAGCTACACATGCAGTAGCAACTAAAGAAGGAGTGTAATTTAAAAATGCATGATCTAGAAGAAAGGAATAAGAAAAAGATTAATTTAAGTTGGACATTGTCTATCAATGCAACAGAGGAATCATCACCTGGAATACATAACTCACCTTGCAGTGATACTTCCAGAAAGTAATCAGCATATTTTGCCATATATAACTTAGTCTTCTCTAAGCAAACCATTGGCCAGCCATCATGAAGATCAGTCTCATGGACAGCAATAGAAAGATAATAGTCGATGAAATGAGCAGCAGTTGGGAGGCACAAATTCCACTGAAACGTTTCTAGCAACAACAACTCCATATGAAGCAAATTCTGTTTTGTTAGTACCAAATTCATGTTAGTCATACAACCCAAGCTGTTCAGCTGTTCAAGTTTGGGAACACTGTCTTCCTTTTCTTCAAATTTACCTTCCGATGAATAGAAAGAGGAGGGGAAAAAAAAAGTAAGTTTCAGCACAACTGCACTGCAAAACAGCTTGTATCTAATGTCTGCATTGGTCATATTTCAGTTCAATGTCAAACAAGCTTGAGACTTTGCTGCAGATGCAAAACTTAAATGGAAGGTGTCATCAGAGACAAAAAGGGGTATGTACTATAAAGAGCTGTCAAACACTCTGTAGGATATTGTGCAGTGCATATGTCCTGTTGGTTTTCGCACCCTGGCACACAGAAGTTGGTTGTGAAGTACTGCATAGGCAAGTTTTTGTCACCAAATTATTTTATATGTCCTCATCATTGATGAAATACCACAGTGATGTGCCTTGGCATACACAACACTGCAACATTTGAGTTTCATCACTCTCCTACCCCCATACACCCTTTTTGTTTCTAAAGCTCATTAGAGTACAGCTAGAGCCCTAGCTAACGTGGCTGCTTTTAATGCCTGTTATGGTAGGTATCATTTTAGATTTGATAGCTGGTAAGCTGCTCCTGCCCTTCAAACAAATGGATTTCAGCAATGTACGGCTGAAAATCCATGCTGCTATATACACTGTTTCAACTTTAATGCTGCTAGCAGCTTCAGCTTTCCTTGGACTTTTAACTTGTCAGGCCTGTATGGTTTTAGCTTGAAGCAAAATTGTGTATGTAGAAAACCCATTAATAAGAGAAACAAGTGTCATATTTCCATACAGTTTGCCATATGGTTGTGCTATTTCAATTTCATTGCAAATTCTTTCCATCTTACACTCTATTCAGTACTACATGATATGTTGTAAATGCACATTTTTAGGGAGTTTTGGACTGAACATTTTTCTCCTCCCCCCAGCACTCAAGGTACTTATACAGGACTTAATCCAATACCAGCCTCAGTCTGTTAGTTTTTCTTTCCCACACTCTAGTAATTACAGAAATAAAAGCTTCAGGAATCACATCATAATTTCTCTTACTACTTTTGTAACCTTATCAGATACATCATAGTGTGTTCTGTCTAATATATTGCATCAGTGATTAAACTGCTTGTTAAAGCCACACAGGGCAAAAGTTTAAAATAGCATTCTGGTTTGTACTTTCTGAAACAATTCATGCACTGCTGCTTGGAAGAACAACTAGTCTCAGCTTTTGGAGCTCTACTTGCAGCTTGTCATGAAAGATGGCAGCGGTGATTTTTTTTCTTAAAGTTATAATTCTCTTTGCAACATGAATTTCATTTGAAAGTCTGGCATTAGTTCAAAGTAAATCCATTTTCCTAAATGGATTACACTGGTTTCCGAGGCAAGGTTTTCATATTCAGCACCTCATCCTTTGCCAAAAGACTGCTGGCTGGTGGCATACAGTCAAAGTTTACCCCAGAATAATCTGAAATAACCCCTTTCTTGTTTAACTGTTCTGTTAGATAGCTGTATCAGTGGGAGACGGGGATGCAATGAAAGGAAGCAGTACAGCAAAAATAGCCAACACCTCAGTGCTCTGGTTTTCTAGCAGAGAGAACATGGAGCTATGATACCATACATTTTATTTGAGAAAATTAAAATATTCAGGGAAACAGATCAGTAGAAACTGAACCAACAACCAGCTCTGCTGCCAGGACCCATTTATCTGAATTTGCTGGTTTAAGAATAAATGCAGCAGGTACCCCAGCAAACTGTACCCATATTTCTTTGGGGACATCTAAAAGGGGCCCACAAATGTCAAAAGACGGATACATACCACAAGAATCTAGCTGGGGTCAATATAAGCAGCAGTGCCCATAATGAGTGTTTGTAATTAATTCTGTTTTCAGAGTGCTGTACATTCACTTTCATATTTCACCAGTATTACATTTTGCATGTGACAATACAGGGTTTATGTTAGCCTTAGCTTGCTTAATGACCACTGCAATTTATGAAATCTGAAGTATTCCAGAACCACACATCACCATCAGCAGGGTGCAGTGCAGTCTACAGATGGTTTAATTTCTTTATCACAGTTATGCAAATTTCCTATTTCCAGCACTGGATCGACCTATTTTAAGAGGTCCTCAGAAAGACAGTCTTTCTATTCCTACAATACAGCTCTGAAAGTTCCCCCTGGAACAATTTGTTTCCAAGTATAAATATTAGTTTTTCATGTCAGTTTGTTTTTTGTCCCATCAGGTTCAACAGGTGCCAACAGAACTCAAAACAAGAGTCTAAAGAAAGGCTCTACCAATTGGGCAAAACTGATATACACTAGTATGTCCCATTTTAAAACCACTTTGTTTCCCCTATCTGCTGTATCCTATCAAGACACACCTTATATTTGGCAGCAGAACCTATATTGCTCTAGTTAAACTTTGGTGCTATATACTTACTTGCTAAAAGTAAACAGGAAAGAGCAACCACATGCAGCTGCTGTATAGATATGTCATAACGATCCATAAAGAGGTCCAACAGATACACAGCTAGATGTCGTGCAGCAGGACAAAGTCTGAACCGATTGCTCACAATGGCAATCAGATCTGCAAAGTATCTTCTCAGATGTAACTGGGGAGATTGTCCTTTGTAGGAGGGCAGCTTCAGCTCCTAGATGGACAGCAGCATGCAATTTTGTTAAAACCATTATTTAGTTTGAATTGGTATCAGGTTAATATAGCTGATAGTCTCAAACTTTTAATGGAATTTTCAAATTTCTCCCCTCTTCCTTCTGTCCCCATAATTTCAGCATTTCTTTTCACAGAACAAAATCTGTTATATAACAGAAGAACTTAGAAATAATTTGGTCCTTCATAGTATTAGTGTAACAATTTTAAATTCAACATCTTTCAATCAGGAAAATGGCTCAGGTGACTTTAGCTTTTACCATTTCTGTTGTATTATCTGTACTGCAGAGGCTGTACCTCCCAACAAGGAAGCAGCAAGGGTATGTGAGTACTCCTCAGCTGCTTCAATGCAAAGTCCAAGAGCTAACTCAATCCCCTCACACTACAGCTCAACTTGAGCAATCAGACTTTGCACTGAAGCGTTTGCATGTTCCAATGCTACTAGATCTCTGCAGGTGCCTCCAGGAGAAGGGCACTAACTGGTAGCCGAAGGTAGTGATCTTAGGAAGAGGAATGGGGCGTGCAATGTGTCAACATTTGCTGCATGCATGTTTAAACCCCGAGTTAATCTGATCTGATTGATGTTGCACTGACACTGATTACAGTGTGCTCTCAGGCGTTTAGTTACGCGTACATAAACCTCACACTGTCTCAGATTTGAGGCAGGGACCCCACAAAACAAAAGCCCTACCAACACCACAGATGAGAAAAGTCTGTGACATCATCTATTTTGAATACAAAATTCGGACTAGTAGAAAGAACATTCCCCAAGCCCCTGCCTAGTACCTCCTCTTGTATACAGCAGAACAGCAGTGCTGTCCTTTGTTATCATTAATAAATGTATGAGTTGGATTGTGCAGCCTATTTACTGCGTGTAAGTAGCATTTTGAGTACAACTACATTTCCAACGGGACTGCCTGACAACATCCAGTTGGAATGGAGTCAGCCAAATTTTCAGTCTTAAGGTCAAAGTTCGGAAACATGCTACTGAAGTGAAGAAAAGAAAACCCCCAAACCTAACAACCCCCCATACGTATTAAGCTTTAGAATGCATCTTTCACCACGCTTTAATAACAGTAATCTTGGTAGCAAATAAATTATCCTGTCCTCCTGTCCCACCACCCCTACTTCAAGAAAGTCACACATGAAATAAGGATAATCCACTCACCAAGTACTATCAGGCTGCAAAAGTGCATTTTTAGTAGATTGAGTCACTTTAAACTGTTCAGCTCCCGGCATAAGACGTATTTTATTAAGAAAACAGCCCCAAAGAGCAACTTTGAGTTAGCTGAAGTAACTTCAAAGCAGTATTACCTAAACCCTCTCGCTGCACCTAGTGTTTGTTTGGCTTTTGGAGATTTTTGTTCCAACAGCTCCACAACGCTTTCTGCAGAGCTTAAACTTGAGCCCACTTCCACATCGAGACAGAAGAATTAAGCGTCCCGTGACCCCTGTGCTTTTTTAAATGCAGAAAAGAGTCCGGTCACTCACAGAAACTGTCACGCCCGAGAACAAACAGCCTGAGCTGTAACCGAGGATAAAGCAAACTCCATCGAAGCCCGGGCGCCTCACTCTTTCCACGCCGCTTCCAGCCGCGGGACTGGCTCCGATTGTTAGAGCCTTCACAAAGGTACCGAGACCACCGCCGCCGCCCGCTAAGCTCCCCCGCTCAGACCCCTCCTCCCCCACCGAATCCCAGGCGCGCTGGGCTACCTTGTAGCGAAGCGCTTGGTGGATGTCGGCAGCCAGCTGTCCTGTCCACCACTGCGCCTCCAGCTCCATCGGCGGCGCGGCGCGGCGGCCGGGGCCTGGGAAAAGGGGAGGAAGCGGCACCCACTGAGCACGGAGGGCAGAACAGAACGGGACGGGCAGCACCACCCTCGCTCCTTCCCCGCTCGCCTCCAGTTAACCGCGATCAGCTGCCGCCCGCGCTGCGGGGCGCCCCCGTACCCCCAGCCCAGCTGTCCGCCATGCGAGGCACAAGTGAGGCTCGTTAAGCCGCCCCCTCCCGCTGCGGCGCACGGCTGAGCGAAGGGGGCGCGGACCAAGCGGCGGCCCCAAGGGAGGATGGTCGCGCCCCGGCGAAGTTCGGGAGCACTTCCTCTGCTGAAGCCACCACTCACCCTACACAGCGGCGGGGCTGAGGGCCGCGGCGGGGCCGGGGCACCTGAGAACGGCGCGACGTCCCGACGGCTCCCCCGCCATCACGCGGCGCCGCCCGCCTCACCCATTGTTAAAGGGCCGAGCGGGCCGGCGTGTGTACAAAGCCAGGCAGCGCCCGCACGCGGCTGCCAGCCCACCAATCGTTTGCTGCCTTACAGCACGGCCCGCCTGCTGGGCGCCAATCAGGGCGCCGCGCTCACGGGGCACGCCGAGCTCTGTGCTCCGCGGCCAGGCGCGGGAAGGCTTTGGGCCCGCGGAGCTGCCGTAGCTGTCCCTACGGTAAAGGCCCGGGAGGAGGAGCTGGGGCGGGCTTACCCTGTTCACCCAGGGAGGATCGGAGCTGCGCAGGGACCCCCGTCAAGGACCAGCAGTGTAGGCCCTCGGGGCATTCTCGCAGGGTGTGTGGAGAGAGCCGGGTAGCGGGGATGTCCCCGGGCCGAGCAAGGTGGTGCTTATCCCTCATAGCACCTGACAGCGCCTTCCCCCCCCCCCCCCCCCCCTTTTTTTTTTTTAAGTTTCCTTCGCTCTTTTGTGTTTCAGCTGTGAGGTTTTTACCACGTGGAATGGTTGTGGATACATCGGGAGCTGTATCTCATTTGGCTCCTTTACACTTAAGACATGTTTTCCTTTCTGTGGAAAAGTACATACACCTCATGGGCTGTGAAAGCTACGAGGTTCAAGTATTAAGACTATTTTGTGGGTGAGCTCTTGTTTGTTGCTAGTTAAATTCCCAGGGGAAAGTTTGTAATAGCGCACGTCCCACTTTTAAATAGCCTGTGCTATTCACCTGAGCTAAGGAGGCTCTGCATCCCGACAGCAATGATAAACAGGAGCTCCCACCTGGACTTCTGGCTGAGCAGTAGGTGCTGTGCACCTGTTTTTTGTGTTCAGAAAGCCTTTCTCTAGATGCTTTCCACCTGCTGGTAACCCCCTGCTGTGGAGATCTTGCAAAATAATACTTGGTGCTTTATAGTGGTTTGCATCTTTGAATTCTCAAATACCCAAACAACTAGTTAATAAGAATGTAAAACCTAGTACAACAAGCAATGTAAAGCAATGCAGAAGAAATGCTTTGGATGCAGTTTATGTTGAGGGAGTGTGTTTTTTTTCTATCCATGCTCAGGCATGATTTTTTTTTAATTAAGGACATGGAAGCCAACTTTTTGACATAACCAATTTAATGACTGTAGCCAGGGTTGTAAAATCCTGTTCCTTTAAACATGCGCGTCTTAAGTTTAGTGGGTAGTCCTATGGACTGCAGTGCTCTGTTTCATCTGAGGAGGTGTGCTTGTAGGTGGAAGCCATAGTTTTTGAGAACATGCTTCTTGGGCAGTTTCCATTTATGACAGTTTTTGTTATATAATAGTTCCTGCTGGGAGGGAGGGGAGAACAGGAAAAGTTAGTATGTTTTATGCATAATACATAATTGGGAAAACTCTTCCACAGTTTAATTAGCTACCTGAGCTCTGTGGACTTTTGACAAAGTAGCATTTTGCTGTTCTGATGGCTTTTTGTCTCATTTCTGTACATTGCTTTATAGGCAAGCGTATGCTCAGGCTGGTTTTGATACTTACAGATACACCGTTTGAAAATAGCTTATTCTTGAAGAAACGTAACACCAAATTTTGTATTTCAAGGGTAAGATAAATCTGAAAAGCAGACTTCTGAGGGAAACATTGTCATTAACAGAAGCTTTATGGCCTTCAAGAATGTGTTGCCCTCTTGAAGAGGCAAAAGCTAATAAACACCAACATGCTAAAAACCTGTTACAGTGGGCCCAAGCAGGGAAGTGGTGTTTCTGCTCTTCCATACTTGGAGAAATTGCTATTAGCACTGCTGCCTCCCACCAGAGCTATTTAACCATCATGTGCATTAAGCCGTTTCTAGACTGTTAAGGGGGAAAAGAAAAAGTGTAGATACTTGCTGGCTTATTTCTCAAGTGGTCTTGTCTGACTTGGATAGGAAGCATCATCTTTATCCTGATAAGGCATGTACACTGAGAGCTATTTCATTTTCATATAATAATTCAGAAAAACAATAATGCTGCATTTACTTGCCACACTACAAAAAACGACTGAACTGTGGAGCTGCCTATTTCAGATCCTTGTAACAAAGATCCTTAATTGTTTCCTATTGCCACATTTCTATGAGTGCACTGCAACCTATTTTAATTGAGCTGTTGCTCTTGTGCGTGTCTGTTTTTCATGTAATGAAAAGGTAGGTTTGGAAAAAGCCTCACCATCCTGCCTGAGGCCAGCATTGCTCCTGGCATGCGTTTTTCTGATCTTGCCGACATCCAGAAAATCACCCTATTGAAAAAGCCAAAGCACTTATGCACTGCCATGTTATGTGCAGGAAGCATACATTTCACCTTATGCCTTAGTGCCAACTGGAGGAATTGAGAACAGTCTTGAAGTCTCTAAACTGAGGCTTATTTCTTTCAGAGTTTGCAAGTTCACAGTTAAATGGGAATGGGAGTAGCACAATTGTAACAAGGTTAAGGCAGGTTCTTTGCATGTCTTATGATCAGTCCTGAAATATCCAGTGGTATTTTTTTTTAATCAGTGCAAATTTTATCTAGTTTTGCTCGTCAAGGCTGTGTATGGTGCTTAAAATATTCCTTAGTCCCCTGCCTGTAAGTGGGGACAGAATCAAAACAAACTCCCTAAGTCCTTGGAATAAACAGAGGATATTAAAGATTACTTTCGTGGGCAGTAGTTAGGCTTTGTTTAGCAAGAATCTGAAAGTGTGAAGTTTTCCACTTATGTGTGGCACATGGAACCTGAGAGAACAGAAAGCAGAACTAAATGTTAGGAAACCGTTTTGAAATGGGTATCGTCTTTCTGTGAATGACCATGAGTCACCTAAGGAAATACATGTGTCTCAAGGGGGAAATGAAATTGGCTGCAAGAACTGCTGTCTGTGCTTTGAAAGGGTGCCAGATAGCAAGAAACACCATTATTTTTGAAATGCCACAAGAAAAATTATGACCCTGAATTACATCCAAAACAGGCTAGAATGTAACCTGTGAAATCTGGACTAAAATGCTTGTAACATTTTTGTGGAATCTTCTAAAGAGGTTGGTGCCAAAATCTTACAATGTATAGACCTGTAATTCACAGGTTATAGTCCTAATACAATTTCAGACATGGTGGGTGAGATGACTTCTTTGTAGTTACTGGGAGGTTAGATTGTATCTCGTGAGTTGATGCACGTATTTATGTGTTTTTTCCTACCCTAAATTTTTGGTGGTGGTTCTTGGCCTGTGAAAAAAGAAACATGGCTTTTAAAATACAAATGAAGAACTTGAAGGTAATTGCCAAGTATAGGAAATACTCTGATCTTGAGAACTACCATTTCTGTACATTAGAAACCTTTTCCCCTTCCTAGTAACAAAGGATCCATTTCTGGTATAGAGTTCTTAGTTTTAGTGGTACAATAACCACAGAGTACAACAGATTCTAAAGATTGTCATGTTGATTTACTTTTATGCTTGCTGTCATAAGAAACATCTTTGAAGTTTGGATTTGTTTTGACTGGAAAAGTGAGAGGAATCAGTCACTTCAGCTACGTAAGCAGAGTCCAGGATAGAAACTGAATTCTGGGGTGACATACCAATGAAAGAAATATTTAAGTAATGTCTCAATCCTTATGTTAATTGTTCTTTTATTTATTGCTTCCTGCTTTTGTTTTGATGCTCTTCAGTTCTCTTCTGAATAAAGTGATAGTAATTCATTAAAAGGCATTTTTGAAGAACTGCATTTTTTGAGCTATGATGTAAAAGAATCATAGTTTTGAGAACTGAGCATTCTTAAAAGAGAAAAATAAATCCTCCAGACTTTGTTCTTGTGTTTCTTGGGGTTGAGAAAGTTAGCTCTGCTTTTGTTACTGTAGTTGTTGATCCTATTTTCAAACAAAGGCAGCATCTGATGACATTCGTTGCCATATTTCAAGGGCATTTAATTAAAGGGAATGAATCATTCTGAAGAAAGGACTGTAACTGCTCAAAGGGCTCTTTTGCAGCATGGTGGTAGATGAAATGTTGTATGTCAGTAAAAAGAATTGTAACACTTCAGAAGCATTTGTGGGCAGTCTCCAACTGAAAGTACTCCAGGGTTGTATTTATAAATGCCTGCACTGAATGTTAAAGGTACTCTGTGGGTAAGATTTTCAAAGATGTCTGGGGATTTGGATTCCCAGAATAGCTACTAAAATGTGATTATCAGATTTGAACTTTACTGGTAAATATCCTTTGGAACTGTTGACTTTAATTGTTAATACAGCTATTAAGAGAGAAAAGATCTGACAATGCTTTGGCTTGAATGATACATGTTTAACATGAAGCATTTTAGCAAACAATTTGGCTTTAAGTGTTTTCCCATCATCTGGGAAGCTATTATAAAAATGTGTGCTATGAATGTTTTATTTGGCATTAGGATAAATGTATATGGTTTTGATAATGTGTTA